CCACCCTGCTGCTACATATGACTACAGCCACACTGTAAGCAAGGTAGGGGCAGGCCACTAATGTAAAGGGGTGATCCGAAGGTATACTAATGTGAGGTTGGACTATGGGGTCCCTGATGGGGGGGCCCTGATGGGCTCTTTGGTGTGGAGGGGCATATAACCCTGCCCGTTCTTCGAGGCTACAATTCTCTAGTGTCCTTAGGTGATGGACCTGTTCTCATCCAGAGCAGCAATTTTTAATTTTTTTTTTTTTTTTAAATAAATTTGTTTCTTCTGAAACTTCTATCAACATTTGAATGCTTATTGCCTTTCCGCTATCTAGCAGTTTCAGGATCTGTTACCATTGGTGTATACTTGGGGTACCACACCCTGACTGTTTTAGCATCAGACAAAAAACTGAAATCATGCCATGGTCTCCATCTACATATTAAAATGCATAATATTCATGTAACAATTCATATTTAGCCCCACTGAAAGCTATGGGAGGCCGACAGCTCTTGCAGCTAATTGCTCGAGCGCGCACATAATCTCCCAAGCAATGATTAAATGCGAGTGATCGACCCTTGACGCAGGCAGTCTACATCCAGAGCTGGTCACTCGCATTATCAATTATATGTGAGTGGGTGTGATTAGCTCTGATAACCGGCAGCCTCCATTGCTTTCAATGTGGCTGCCTACTCACTGCTAACTTAAGAACCCTCGCCATGAACCTTGCAGGTAATCCTATGCAGAGTGAATTTGCAAGTGTGAATGCACCCTAAAAGAATCAACACAATCCTGCATCAGAACTGTCCCTTTGAGTTTTTTTTTTTTTTTTTTTTTACCTTAAATCATTGCTTGCATTAAGGTAAAAAAAGGTGTTTAAGTTCCCTGTGCGTCCCCTTACTTGTGTGAAGAGGAAGAGAGGAGATCAGCACTGTGCACAGCTGCAGCTCTTCTCCCCTCACTTCCACTTCACACAGGGGCTCAAATAGCAGCAGGAGCCATTGGCTCTTACTTCTGTAAATCAAGTGAGGGGGTGCCAAGTCCCTCTGTGTGTCTCCATAGATTCACAGTTCGGGAGCGAGCATGCAGCGTTTGTCCCCATAGCAAATTACTTTATGGGCACACAAAAAGGGGAGCCAGGATTGTCGGTGGGGGACCTGAGAAGAGAAAGATCGGGACCACTCTGTGCAATACCGCTGCACAGAGCAGGTGAGTATAACATGTTTGTTTTTAATTTAAAAACAAAATTGACTTTAGTGACCCTTTTTTAATTTTTTTTATTTTTTCTTTTTATGGGTAACCAAAACATGATAAATTTGTTGTTTTTTGTTATGTAGATTGGTTGGTTTAAAAGGCTGTGTTCCTAAGTTTGGTAATGGTGTGCATATAACGGCATGCATTGTTGTTGGTCTCACCCGAATACCAATGTGCTGTGATTTTTTGACAGTTGATCACAACCAGGGTGGATTTGATTTAAATCACGATTTAAATCACTGGTCAGTAAGGCTTGATTTAAATCCTAGTTTTCTACATTAAGACTAATTCTTGCTGGTATAACTTTAATATGCAAGTAGATGAAGATTTTTAGAATAACAACTTTTCATATTAGTTTTTTTTTTTATCCCCAGTTTAATAGGTTAATCATTCATATTTGGACAACTTTTCTGTTGTACTTAGGAAGGAGAAAAATAATCATTACCTTAATAATAACAATTTAAATAGATTTATTCAACTGAAACAATAACATTCCAGCATATGTTATTTGCTTAAACAAACATCCATGTTTGTTAACTCATTTGGCTAAACAAAATATATATATTTTAAGAAACTTGGACTGTCCCCCTTCCTCCTCACACTTAGTTTCACTTTCTTCTTGTGCAGATCTATTCCACTCCAAACAATCAGGAAAATATTGTTTCTATTCTATTCACTGAACTTCTTGAAATTTAGCACTGAAGGGGTTGATTCTGTATTCATAGGTTTGTAGAAGTTAGGATTAAGGTCTTTTTCTTAACTCTGTTCATGTTATAACATTTTTGCTGTGAAGAAGAGGCATGTGATCTCCGCTGAGTCAAATTCAGTTTTGAGAACTGCAAAAGTAAACCAAGCATCTGTGATAATATCTTGTAGGCAGAGAAACTGCCCAATAATCTTACAAAAACCTCTGGAAGAGCATGACATTGCCATTGTGAATGGATTCATGGAATTTATTTACCTAAACAATTAAACATATACAGCCTTATTCTACATAATTAAAAAACGAATCTTTATTTCATGATGGAATAACCTTTGGATGGTAATATATTTTCCTCAAAAAGCATTTTATTTAAAAAAAAAAATCCGATTTTAAATAAAATCCGATTTTAAATAAAATCTGTTTTGTTTTTTTTTTATCACTGATTTTTATCCACCCTGATCACAACACTGTACCCAAATTAAATTTTTTTTTTTTTTTATTTATCCTTCATGGTTTTTTTCACTACAACTTTTTTGGACATAAATATGCTGGTAAAAACAGTTTGGGAATGGTACATTAATGTAGAAGTCTATCTGCAAAGAGAGGAGGTAGGCATATTATACAGGTCACATACAGTTGGAGAATGGAGGTGAAAAGGGTTGGTGTAAAGCAGGGGTGTGCAAACTTTTTTCAAAGAGGGCCAGATTGGATGAAGTGAACCTGGTGGAGGGCCGAACATTTTTCCGAACATTCTTTGAACCATTACAATTAAATGCAAATACATTATTTTATGCCAAGTTAATTGCAAGCGACATACTTTTCATTTCATAACATTAAGATCAACTGACAGCTGAGTTTTCACAATGTATTGAAAATAAATTTAAAAAAAACTTACCTGCACTAATATGAAGGGTGAAAAAGGTAGCTGGAGCTGAAGTCTCTGCTCGGCAGCCGGGAGGGGAAGAGAAACACACTTCACGCTGGAAGCCCGGCCCTGACGTCACCGGCCTCTGTCGCTCCCAGCGTGGCGCAGTCACGCATGCGCACTGCTCTCAAGCAGAAGACTGTCTGCCACAGAAGGGAGGGCCGTGCGACAGCCGCATTTACACAGACCAGGGAGAACACGCCGCAGTCAGGCATGCGCACTGCCCTCTGCTCTCAAGCAGAAGACTGTCTGCCATAGAAGGGAGGGCCACATTACACAGAGCAGGGAGGGCTGTTGGAGGGCCGTATTAAACCGACCCCCGGGCCGTAAATGGCCCGCGGGCCGGACTTTGGACATGCCTGGTGTAAAGGATACGTGAGGTGAAGGAGTTACTATACAGCTCACATACAGACAGCATGGCAGTTGGATCCATTGGGGTGAGAGGGTAAAAAGAAAAACACAATCCTAACCCATTGCCATTAATCTGCTGCTGCTCCTTCATTCACAGATTTTCCTTGATGATAGCAAGTGTTTATTTGTGATTGGTCACCGCACAGATGACAAGGTACAGAGCCACTCAGATGGGCTCTATACACTGATCTGGCTTGTCCAAAGACCGCTCAGATCACATCCATTAAGGGGCACTGTGGTCACCTCTGTCTTATTTTTGCAATGCCATTTATAAATGGCAATGCAGAAATGCATATCGACCAAGCTTTCTGTCAAATTGTTTTTGTCTGTATAGTTTTTGTACGCAGGCCTTGTATATGTATATTTATGCACATCTAAATTTTCAACCTGTGGGGCTTTTAGATTTTACCTGTTCAGTAATGTACATTTAAAATTCCTGCCCAAGTTTTGTAATGGATTAGTTTTTTAATTTTATTATACTCACCAATGAGCCTAAATTGTACTTTGACAATGGTTTTCCACACCAGGATCCTAAAGCGGAGCTCCACCCAAAAGGGTATGTTCTGCTGTAATGTATTGTCCCCTGCTCCCCGGTAAGGATTGGCACCTTTGGGGAGCGGGTACCAGAATTTGACAGGTACCCGCTCCCACTTCCTCTGCGATTGGAAGCGGAAATTGTCCTCCCCGTGACATGACAAGTCCCAGAAGACTACGGGACCTTTCACAAAGCACAGTGCTACTCGCGCATGTGCAGTGGGCATCCAGCTGTGAAGCCGCAAACTGTCACAGCCAGGTGCCCACACTAAAGATGCTGGCGTCGGGGAGAAAACACGGCTGGTGAAACCAGCGGTGGTGATGACACCACTGCATTGTGGGACAGATAAGTGTCCGTATTGTAAAAGTCAGCTGCTACAGTTTTTGTTGCGGCTGACTTTTTTTTTTTTTTTTAATCAGCTGGAACTCCTCTTAAGAGGCTTTTAAGAAAAACAGCAAGTGCATATGTGAACACGTTTTTGAAATTTGACTTCAACCTGGAAATTGATCTGTATTCAAATAACACTGCACCCATGGGTAATGTAATTACAAATGTTGTGCTTAACGCCTTCTTGCATAAGACCTAAGGCTGCGATGTACAGACCCTAGTGGCAATACCAAGATGGCATTTTTATTGCGTCATAAAATCCTTCAAAGAACCAAGAATTGTGCTTGTAATATCCCCCACAGGGAAGACTTGTGGATCTCTTGGGTACATAACTGTGAAGGGGGGGTGTTTAAAACCTTGTGCTACACTTGAATGTGGAATCTTCCTTTTTTGTTTTTAACATACAAATGTATGGAAGTTGCTGCGGTTTATGCAAAAACAAAAGCTGCAGGCTCCAGGACGGTCACCCTGATTTGTCTCAATATCTAGTGAGTTGCCAGGAGCAAATGGTAGTATGGGTCATCGGAATTCCTATCTTGTGTGCCAAATGAGATCAAGATGCAATAAGTGTTGAATGGCCACCCTGGAGCATGCACCTTTTTTAAAACAAATCGGTAGCAGCTCCTATTTCTATCAAACCGATTCCCTTTTTTATGAGTAATGATGAAAATACTTTTTTTGCAGTGTGCATCTTGGACACTAGATGGTGATGATGTGCTATATTTCAATTATGCATCCATGTCCTTTTTTCCTTATCCTGAAATTAATTTATAATTTCCTTTTTTGTAGGAACCCAAACTATGTCTGGCATAGCCCTGAGCAGACTTGCGCAGGAGAGGAAAGCTTGGAGAAAAGACCATCCTTTTGTAAGTGTTCTTCATGCACCAGTTTTCTTTCTCTTAAGCGGTTTGGTTAAATTCCTAATTGTTTGATCTTTTTATTTCTAAGGGTTTTGTGGCAGTACCAACAAAAAATCCAGATGGTACAATGAACTTGATGAACTGGGAGTGTGCCATTCCAGGCAAGAAAGGGGTAAGACTGAGGATTCCAACATGCATGTATCTTGAAAACTGACTTAAAAATTGCCAAAGCGAATATTTGTAAATGGGCCAATTTATTGAATGAAGAACTTGTATCTCTGACATCTTTTTACCAGTGTACTCTGTTTGGAAATTTTGGTGTTCAACACCTCCAAATACTTTCTTTATAATGAAGTTAAAGGATAAGGTCACTTTTTTTTTTTTTTTTTTTTTTCATGTAAAGAAATGTGCATTTTTTTGTTTCTTTGGGGAGACTGTAAAGCATTGTACCCACGATCAGCAGATTGCGGGTGCAATGTTTGGGTCTTGCAGACTTGCCAGTACACGGTCTGCCTGTATCTCTGATATGGGTAGGCAGTTACTGAAGTCCGGGAAGCTCATTAGACTACACCAGTGTCCTTGCAGTTCATTGAAAACTACAAGCCATCAGCTGCAATGGCTGATGGTACTCATAGGCAGTCACAGAACTGAATGACATGGCTGTGTGGGCAGAGCCATGCCGTTTTCAAATTTGACAGCAGGTTCAGGGAGGAGGTCCCCACCCGCTGTCACAAAGGGCCGGTCAGTGGGAGAGGGGGACAGATGCTCAACCCTAAATATGGGTGTAACATTTTGAGAAAGATGAATGTATCCTTTTATTTCTTTTAGAACACGTTACATCTGTATTACACCCTGCAGTTGCTGTCACTTTCAAATTTGGCGTGGCTATGTGATGCTCTGCCAGCACAGCCACATCATTCAGAGATCTGTGGAAGCAGAACTAGAAGTCCTGTCTGCCACTGTCTTAAGCGGCTTGTAGTTCTCAATAGATTGTAAGAGTGCTGATGAGCGTGCTAATCCTTTCACGTTTCTCCAGCTTTCTAATTGCTCATACAGAGGTAGGAGCAGAAAGCTGAAGGACATGTCTGCTGGAGCCTGATATTGCATTCGTGATTGCAGATGCAGTGCTTGGCAGGCTCTTATAGGGGAAAAATAATGCACTATTTTTTTTTCTCCCCTTCTGAAAGATGAACTTATCTTTTTAAACTCAACAGGGAGAATGGAACTTGCTTACCATCTGCCATCTGCAGCATCTGTGCACAACTGGGGGCCAAGGGGTGTGTCTGAAGGAAAATTCTGTGAACCTCATTTTCTGTAACTATCCTACATATTTCAGTAGCACTTTAATTGAAAGGATTCGCACATTTACAAAGATCCTTCACCCACAGGCCAGGCTTCTTCTGATGTTAGACTTAAATAGAAACAAAAGGGTGCAAAGGCCTTGTACATTACCAAAAGTACATTTTTATTGATGAAATAAACCCAGTGAGTGCATACAATAGCCAAAGGCTAAAACTGCAATGTAAACACTGCCCAAGTGACAGGGTGGTCCTATTAGAGGTGATCACATGACCCTGAAATCACTTACACTTGTTAGGGGATGCGTTTCAAGGGACAAACCTTCTTCAGAGCAAAGCTGGTGTCTGAGATTTGTGCTATTGTTAATTGCAATGGTCAAGTGTGCACACTATTGCTGACAGTAGACACAGCTTGCTGTACTAAGGGAAGAATTGTCAGATGTTTGAAATATATCTGCCAACAAGGGAAAATATGGGCTGTTTCATACTTGATTTTTATTCATAATGTTTGCTTGTTTTCTGTGCCCTGCAGACCCCTTGGGAAGGAGGATTATTTAAACTTCGGATGCTGTTTAAGGATGATTATCCCTCCTCGCCTCCGAAATGTAAGCTTTATTTTTGTTTATTATGCAGCTTTTATTGAAATGCTAAGCCCTTTCTGTTATGGGTTGGAAGCGCTCTTCCCTGGTCTCCCATTTGGGCTTTCACTTTGTCATACAGGCTTCTGATGAAAGCTACAAGTTGCCCTTTTAATGTTATGTAGGCATATTCCACTGTTATGATTGGGAAACCCACACTGAGAAAAGCCATGCCGTAAGGGCTGCAGGAGATCAGGAGTACAGACCTGTAGTAAAGGAAGAAAAAAAGGTTGAAACCAGCACAAAGTGAAACAAGGCAATTGTATTGATGCACAGTGATTTAGCAAGCTAAAAAGCTAAAGGTAATTCACTTAGGGTTTATGGCTACTTTCTTCTTTTTTTTTTTTTTTTTTTTTTTTTTTTTTTTTTTTTTTTATAGCTGAACTGCTTTGGGATAACCTTTCTTGTACATTGAGCCTCTTTGTAGGACAGGAGGGGTTTATATTCTGTGGAAAAAGCTGGCCATTTTCCCAGTCATCTTCCAGAACCACATTATGAGAGACGAGAGGTGATTGGTTCTTCTTGCTACAGGAAGCACAAGACAAAGATTAAAAAAACTCCTTTCACCTCCACAGTCCTCAGTTTAGTTTCGTATTTACCAGGAGTACACCAAAATGCTTACTTTCCTTGTACCAGTTGGTCGTTGGGTCAGTGGTCCACCTCTGGTCCCAGAATCACTATTGCCTGTTTTTGAAGGTATTGAATGGAGGTTCTCTTGATTGGGTGGTCACCTGTACCCATGCCAGGATCTTGCCCCTTACCAAGGCTGTGAGGTAACTCTTAAACACTAGCATTAGCCTCTCTGTTCCAGGCTGTCTTTCTCACCGAAGAGAGGCAGTTTCAGCAGTTTGATGAGATCTGAAATGGTTTCATCCTTCTATATTTTTGGGTTTGTTTTTGGATGAATACTTTTCCTCTGTCTCAAAACTGCTTTATCTTGGGTTAAAGCAGCCACAACTATGCCCTCTTTAGGATTTTGGAACTGGGATGGAGGAGGAGGAAGTTGAGTGTGATAACTGAGGAGGTCTCTATCAAGAGGAAACTCTCCAGCCCTTATTAGGGCAGAAACCAAGATGCACCGGGAGGGTAAAAGACCCTGGAAAATAAAAATTAGAGATATTAACAGATTGGAGAAATGGGATCTAGGGAAGTATGGGTCAGAGTAGGGAGTTGGAGTTGGTCTGGTACAGACACCAGCACAAGTTGAATTCCAGCACAGTCAAATAATGGAGAGAGGTAAATTTATCCATAACACCATTTAACACTCATATGATGTCCAGTCACAATGGGGAGTGTCCCGCCAATCCGCCAATAGGCCGGGTGGGACACTCCTGGTTGTGACTGGGCGTCATATGATGTCCTGTCAGTGAGCTACGCAGTGATGCGCTCTCACCAGCTGTGTCCTCGGAACACAGCAGATAATTATTATTATTATTATACAGGATTTATATAGCACCAATAGTTTTCTTAGCGATTTACATTATAATGGGAGACAATACACGAGACAGTACAGTAACAATACGATTCAATACACGAGGGGTTCGAGGGCCCTGCTCCTTGGAGCTTACAATCTAGGAATTGCATATATAACTACACTGGCCCGTTGCCAGTGTCTTGTGACCAATCACAGCAGATCACATGTCAGTTGTATACAATGGATGGCTTCCTGTCATGCCATCCATTGTATACAATTATGTTAGCTGTGACTGGTCAAAGCAGTCCCATGATACAGACAGGGCCAATCACAGCCCATCTGTATCATGTGATGAGTTTTGCCCAATCACAGTTAATCACAACCAAAGACTGAATGAAGTTTCATTCAGTAATAATGATTGCAAATATCGATGAAATACATTGGTATTAGCAATTTATAATGCGCTAAAAACAAAATCCTGATTACTTGCCCAGAGTAGTTCAATGTTACTATGGTAACATTGTATTGCTTTGGTCAGTCTGTTGGAAAAAAAGAAAAAATGTAATAAAAAAATAGAAAAATGTGAAAAAAATAGATTAAATTATTTATTTTTTTTTTTTTACATACTGTCAACAGTCTCTCTGATCACTACCACACCAGTTATATAATAACACTGGACTGGTGACAATATGTAAAAAAAAAAAAAAAAATGTTAATCTCTACATTTTCCTAAAAATAACAGAAATGAAAAAAAAACTCACCATGCCTCTTACTAAATACCTTTAACAGCCCATTTTCCAAAAATGGGTGATTTTGAGGGGTATTTGTACTATCCTGGCATTTTCGGGCCTCAAGAAATGAGATGGGCCGTCAGTACATCAGGATTGATCAATTGTCATATATATATATATATATATATATATATATATATATATATATATATATATATATATATATATATATATATATATATATATATATATATATATATATATATATATATATATATACCATGGTTTGTGGACTCTATAACTTTCCTGCAGACTAAACACTATACACTAATTTGAGGTATTTTCACCAAAGAAATGTAGCAGAATACATTTTGACCTAAATTTATGAAGAAATGTTATTTATTTGCAAAATTTTATAACAGAAAAATGCAGGGGATGTTTTTCAAAAGTTTGTTTTATTTAGCAAAAAATAAAAAAACTCAGCGGTGATTAAGTACCACCAAAAGAAAGCTCTTTTGTGTGAAAAAATGTCATATGGGTACAGTGTTGCATGACTGTGCAATTGTCATTCCAAGTTCGACTGCGCTAAAAATTGGCCTGAGCAGGAAGGGGGTAAAAGTGCCCGGTATTGAAGTGGTTAAAATTTCCCGCACTTTACAACTTTCAACGCTGTTGGCTCCTGTGCTCCTAGTGCTACTTCCCTGAACTTTCAGTCTTCACAGGAAAGTACATTGCTGACTCCAGCCAGTCTTGTTGGCTTGGAGAAGTGAGGTGGAAGGAGTAGGGAGGATTGAGGGGTTGAGTGCCTTGCTATCCTAGGTTACAGGACTGTGATGGCTTTTGATACAGTGTAGGGCACAGGTGTCAAACTGGCATCCCTCCAGCTGTTGCGAAACTACAAGTCCCATCATGCCTCTGCCTTTGGGAGTCATGCTTGTAACTGTCAATCTTGCAAAACTACAAATCCCATGAGGCATTGCAACAGCTGGAGGGCTGTCAGTTTGACACCTGTGGTGTAGGGAGACACTATTCTAGTCCCTGTATGTAAGGGTGGCTCCAAAGGATCCTGCAAGAAAGGAGCCATCCCGAAACAGGAAGCCGGAACGGCAGCCATGGCACCAGTAACTGTGTGAACATGGGCAAGGATTACAAGCTAAAGCAGTGACTTAAATCATTGGCTGAAAGTGCTTGGGGGGGGGACTGAGGGTTTATTATTGCTTGGAATTAAGCTGATGTACACTTCTGGTCAGTGGCTATGTTAAGTAACCCTTAACTATATTGAGAAATTCCTTTAAAGTGTCACTAAACCCAGGACCCTGCATTCACTATAGCTGGTCTCCTATAGTACACAGAACATGGAAATTCAATTTTATTAGTAAACATAAACTGCTAAATACCTTTTTCTCATCAGCAGTTGCAGCAATCTTTTAACTTCTATCAGTGTCCAGCAGAGCACTCGTTAAAGCTTATAGGAGGAAGCAAGAACCCCGATCTCTGTCTGGACAGTGCTAATTGGTCCTGTGCTGATCACATGCACTCTCCCAAGAAAAAAAAAAAAAAAGGAGGGAAGGATCAGGGAAGTCAGAATCAAACTGCGTTTTTACAGAATGCAGAGCATTAACCCCTTAGGTTTCACAGTGAATATAACAAGCATGTTTTACTAATTTTATTGTTGTGTGTTTAGTAACACTTTAACCCTTTGGCTGCCAGGTCTGTACATTGTGTGGACCTGACAGCAGGAATGGGGGTGGATTTACACACACTCCTGGTGGCTGCAGCCACCATGTTTGTGCGTAAATCTGACAAGCCAACTTCTGGTTGTCGGGTTGCTTTCATACCCCCCCAGTAACGGGTGGCCCCCTTCCTGTTTCTGACCTGAAAGCGTCATGTAAAATTTCACTTCTGGGTCCCCCTGTCAGTGTCCCTGGCCAGTATTGCCAAAAAAATCCTCGCATAGAGGGCTCTTTTTTTTTTTTTTTTTTCTTACTATGTGATGGAAAAAAGTGAAGTATATGAAAAAAGCAAGTTGCACACAAGAAACAAAAAGAAAATTGAGGCCCACCTCCACATATACAAATATAAACTCCCCACATATACAAATGTACGAACTTTAAATGCATGCGGTAGATGCACCTGCGCATGAAAACGGCATACACGTTACATATTGCCATGCATGCACGTCCAAGTGTTGGCTAGAGAAAAAATAGGGTACTGAAGTTTGTCTCCATTTCACGGGCTCATACAAATTTAAGGTTTGACATGTTTGGTATCTATTTACTCAGTGGAACCTCCTCTTTACATTTATGTTGGGTAATTTATTGTTTGTCTCCTAAAATTTTATTGTATTTTTTATTGAAATTTTGTTTCCTAGACCTTTGCAGTAATATTGTGTGACATAAATTTGAACTACCATTATTTTATTCTCTAGGTTGTCTGCTTTCAGAAAATGTTTTGGGGGTTTAGGCAATCTTCTGGCTTAAGGTTATTAGGCATAAAAGGGCTTTGGCAACAAAAGGATTCTAAAGTACATTTTCAAATTAAAAAAACAAAACTGTGTCATACTTGCATGCTATGTGCAGTGGTTTTGTGCAGATCAGCCCCAGTCTGCCTCTTGTCAGGTCCCCTACCTTACCCACCTTCTCCCCTCAAGCCACTTGCTATGGGGAACTTGTGCTTGCTCACTGCTGAGCCAGCTCTGTGTATTCATTGACACACAGTGCACTAGGCCCTGCAATTGAATCCCCTTCTCACTGGCTGTGATTGACAGCAGCATGAGCTAATGGCTCCCGATGGCACTTTTTTTTTTTTTTTTTTTTTTTTTCCTTGCTATATAGAATGCAGTAAGGTAGTAAACCTTCTGCCTTGAGAACCGCTTTAAAGTGGCTGTGTGGGCTCTACAAAACTACAGGTCCTGTCTTCCACTGCTGTAGAGGGGCTTGTACTTCTCAGTGGACTATGATTGCACTGATTGGAACACCCGTAGTCCATTAACACTACTTCAGCTCCCTAACTGAAAGCTGCACAGAGTTGAGCTTACTTGTATGAAATTTTACTCTACTAAATATTTTGTTAAAAAAAAAAAAAGTTATCCCATCAGTTGCAATTGGGGGGAAAATGCATTTTTTTTTCTTTGTTCTACAGATGTACATACTTCCAGTGAATCTTTAAAAATATATAAATTGCAATTAACCTGAGTTGTTCCTGAATTGGGTTCGCACTTCAGTGGGCTTCTTACATCTTTGCAATGACTACTTGTTACCAAGATAGCAAAACATTCATTGGCTCTACTTTAGAAGTCTGGGTAACCATTCTCTTGTTTTTATACAGGTAAATTTGAGCCTCCTTTATTCCACCCAAATGTTTATCCTTCAGGCACAGTGTGTCTGTCTATCTTAGAAGAAGATAAGGATTGGAGGCCAGCAATCACAATTAAACAGGTAGGTCTCTCACATGTACTGGTTGATTACAAGCTTTGTCACGTTTTTTTTTTTTAACGCTTTCCATCTCTCCACAGATCTTGTTAGGAATACAAGAACTTCTAAATGAACCAAATATACAAGATCCAGCTCAAGCAGAGGCATACACAATTTACTGGTCAGTATAGGGCTGGTTTTAGAAAGTTAAGCTGGGTATTCACAAGGCAGAAATTGGCTGAAAACTGACGATTCGGCAGAAACTGATCAACTTTTGATCCATGTGTCCAGCTCCTTGTCCAACAGAAAACCCACATCTGATCAGTGCTGGCATCCAATGCCATTGGCTGGCAGTGCTGATCAGTGTGTCCTGTTGGAGAGGTAGTCACCCTTTCAGAACACAATAATTCAGCAGGGAGATCGCCGCCATAACATCAGATGTTAGTACGCCAATCTGTAAAAAAAAAATCTTTTTTCGTTCGGCCCCCTGGGTTGAACAGAAAAAAAAAAAAACTACCCAGCACAAGTCTTTCAGTTTCTAAATTCTTTGGAGAGGTGTGTGCTCACTCTAAAGACTGAATATCACTTCTCTACAAAGTAACCCTGTCCAGTACCCAAGTTTCGAACTATGAGCTGCTGCTTATACCAGATGTTGAATAAATGTATAGGCCAACAAGCAATTTTCTCATCACTGACACCCATCCTTCTAGTGTTTCCAGTTTTCACATGGAGGATATGCAGTCCCTCTGCCCAAGTGCCTATAATCAAGCCTGGTCATTGCTATAAGAAAGGGGTGGTTTACTGAGACTGTGTGGGAAACCGTAGGAATAGGTTTTTTTGGTTTGCCAAATTTTGGATAAATTTAACTATATTGGCATCCATATCCATGGACCTGCCATAGTCTGGAAATTAGTATTCCCTAACACATGCTATTATTAACACTTGTTTGTGTTTTTTTTTGTTTTTTCTTTTCAGCCAAAACAGAGTTGAATATGAAAAAAGAGTCAGAGCACAAGCCAAGAAGTTTGCTCCATCATAAGCTTCAACCGTGTGGCATCTTACAATAAAAACTTTAAAAAAGAAAAAAAAAACAACATAAAAAGGAAGGGATTGGTTTGGCAAGAACTTGTTTACAAAAACAAAATTTTTTTGCAAAATTGAATGATGCTATATACAAAAAGTCACTTAGGGGAGGGGGTTATGTGTGCCATTTTCCATTTTCGCCACTTGTATAGAGTTCTAAATCTGCTGAATATTTCCCCCAGTTTTTCATACAGGGTCTCTTCCTTCCGTCTTTTTGTATTTTGATTGTTATGATGTAAAACTTGCTTTTATTTTAATATTGATGTCAGTATTTCAACTGCTGTAAAATTATAAACTTTTATACTTCTATAAATCCACTAGTAATCTATAGTTTTTTCCTTTGCTATCTGATGCAGGCATGCTCTAAAATGTTTAGAACTATATCTAGCCTCTAGCTGGCTGTAGTAAAAAAAAAAAACAGAATGCAATGTCATATTCCACCCCCTCCCTGCCCCTAAATTTCCTTTTTAAGGTCTTTCAATGACTAGGCTGCCATTCTCTGCAACCTAGCGCCTCAGACAGTCAGCAACTTGCTTCTGCATCACTTCCTTTGTGTTTATATGGCGTTCTGTCTGTGTTGCTGTTTAGATTAAATAAACTGTTTATATAAATTTTTTTGTTTCTTATCTTTTTCATGAAAAGGACCATAAAAGTAGTAATCTTTTTGGCTTGTAAATTGACATTGAGTTTTTTTTTTTTTCCTGTGCATTCTGTAAAGAAAAGAACAACTTGATGTAATGTTCATGGAACATAGGATACGCAAAGATTTTGGCCTGGTATCTCGATGTAATTGGCTGACAGTCTGTATATGTTTTGTAATCCCAAAATGCAAACTTCAATAAACAGCAGTAAACCAAAAAATATATATTCCTGGTAAGTATAATGAACTTTGTTATAGATCCAGTAATCTCGTTAACACTGTAATGCAAATCTAATGCAAATAAAACAAGTCAATTGGAACTGATTTGGTAAACAGTTCAATTATGTCTGTAATGCATGTTATGAAAAGGGTATGGTTTTGGTTTTTTTTTTTTTTTTGTTTCCTTCCCCCTAATGTTGTTGGCTGCTTTTGGGAAGGGGAGTAACCCTGGTTGACAAACATCCTTTTTTGGCTTTAAAACCTGAGTTTGATTAAACCCACTAAATGTGTTCCAGGTACATCAGAAGACGTGCAAAGGCCTATAGTTGCCTTTAGAGCGTGCCCACAGCCTGAGTAGAAAAGCTTGTCCAAGCCTGCATGCTGTAGAGAAGACCCCTGCTGTGTAAGCAGTTTTCTAAGGAAAACTAACTGCAAGACTTTGCACACTTTGTTTTGTTTAGTGGATTTAATCATTAAAGCCCATCTCCAGGCAAATTATTTTTTTCCCTTCCCCTCCATGCAGTGGGGCTGTGCCCAGACTACATGGTCAACTGCTAATTTTTTCTAAGGGTGAGCAGAAAGCTCCTACTCGCCCGATCCTTTGGAAAACAGTGTTCCCCCACTGTCTAGCAGTGGAACTGTTCCTAGTCTATGGAGCTTGCTCTGGACATGTCAGGAACAGTCCACTATTCAAGACCACTGAAGCATAGGGGTGTTGGACCGGTCTTGTGCTGGGGAGGATCAGGTAAGTATGTCTCCACTTTCCTCTCCCTAGGAAAAAAGCAGTTAACCCATCCACTACTGGGGGCGGGGGGGGGATTACCTGGAGTTGGGCTTCGAGTTCAGGTTGGCATTAAATTGAAATCCCCCTATTTTATTGAAAAGAGTTGTTGGGCTTCTGCACTACAGTTATAAAGACAGTTTCTGTAGACAGCTGAATGAGTGCTATATGGGAAGGTCTGTCTGCGTAAGACAAATAGGATGCCCCTTAATATCTCCTAGATATGATGTTGCTTAATTTGGTGCTGTGGGTGATGAAACTGTACTTGTCATCAGAGCTAATTTCATGAAGAGGAATTGAAAATACTCTTGCTATGGTTGGGAGGAAGGGATTTGTACATATGAATTTATTTTTATACTACAGGCTAATGTTAAAAATGTACACAATTTTATTAGCGAAGACACAGCGCTCGGAAACACTGGAGAAAATTTTGCCTATTTAACTCTTGTGGAAATGCTATGGGGAAAGTCACACAGTCATGTACCTACTAGGTTGCAACAGAGTTTATTCAAAAATGTATCAATCGGGTAAAGACTGGATTATAAAACAAGTGGTTCCAAATATTGGACCTTCTTGGCTAATGAGAAATCTGCCATGCCCTGCCAGACCATATAGAATGAGAGGTCTCAACAACCTGATGGGGATATGGTTGTCCTGATGTGAAGACTCCCTGTGTAAAACGGGTGCAGCGGAAGGGGGGTCACCTAGGTCCCACTCCGAGGACAGAAGCTTCCCATGAGGGGCCTGGTTGGACTACAAACAGGTTGCCATGACAACACGTTTCAAGTGCATGCGCTTTATCAAGTCATGGAACACAAGGGCAACCAGTATTATATATACCCTGTGGAACTAATGGCATGGGCGGGCAGGGAGCATGACTTAATCCTCCATTGCCTTAGTAAAGGTCCTCATAGGGAAATGCATAACGGCAATGACAATGGCACCAATAAGGATTAATGATAATTCATATAGTGGTAAAAAAATTTCATTTTAATATTTTTTTTCATTTATGAATTATTAATCCTTATTGTTGCTATTGTCATTGCTGTTATTATTAAACAGGACTTGTATAGCACCGACAATGTTGTGTTATTTCCCTGTGAGGACCTTTTTATTAAGGCAATGGTGGTGGATTGCATCATGCTCTCTGCCTGTCCATGCCATTAGGATACACAGGGTATATATAGTGTTGATTGCCCTTGTGTTCCATGACTTGATAAAGTGCATGTGCGTGAAATGCGTTGTCATGGCAACCTTGCTGTTTGTGGTCCAACCCGGCAGTTCGTGGCAAGCTTCCAGCCTCAGACTGGGATCTAGGTGATATCACCGTTCTACACGGAGTCTTCACATCAGCAGGACGTTCTTACCATCAGGTTGTTGAGACCTCTCATCCTATATGGTCCAGCAGGGTATTGCAGATTTCCCATCAGCCACAAGGGTCCAGTAATTGGAACCACTCATGTTTTTATCTTTGTCTTTACCTGATACATTTTTTAAAAATCTCCATTGCAGCCTATGGATATACAGTCAGGTCCATAAATATTGTGACATTGACACAATTCTAACATTTTTGGCTCTATAAACCACCACAATGGATTTGAAATAAAACGAACAAGAAGTGCTTTAACTGCAGACTGTCAGCTTTAATTTGAGGGTATTTACATCCAAATCAAGTGAACGGTGTAGGAATTACAACAGTTTGTATATATGTCTTCCACTTGTTAAGGGACCAAAAGTAATGGGACAGAATAATCATAAATCAAACTTTCACTTTTTAATACTTGGTTGCAAATCCTGTGCAGTCAATTACAGCCTGAAGTCTGGAACTAATAGACATCACCAGACGCTGGGTTTCATCCCTGGTGATGCTCGGCCAGGCCTCAACTGCAACTGTCTTCAGTTCCTGCTTGTTCTTGGGGCATTTTCCCTTCAGTTTTGTCTTCAGCAAGTGAAATGCATGCTCAATCGGATTCAGGTCAGGTGATTGACTTGGCCATTGCATAACATTCCACTTCTTTCCCTTAAACTCTTTGGTTGCTTTTGCAGTATGCTTTGGGTCATTGTCCATCTGCACTGTGAAGCGGCGTCCAATGAGTTCTGAAGCATTTGGCTGAATATGAGCAGATAATATTGCCTGAAACACTTCAGAATTCATCCTGCTGCTTTTGTCGGCAGTCACCTCATCAATAAATACAAGAGAACCAGTTCCATTGGCAGCCATACATGCCCACGCCATGACACTACCACCACCATGCTTCATTGATGAGGTGGTATGCTTAGGATCATGAGCAGTTCCTTTCCTTCTCCATACTCTTCTCTTCCCATCATTCTGGTACAAGTTGATGTTGGTCTCATCTGTCCATAGGATGTTGTTCCAGAACTGTGAAGGCTTTTTTAGATGTCGTTTGGCAAACTCTAATCTGGCCTTCCTGTTTTTGAGGCTTACCAATGGTTTACATCTTGTGGTGAACCCTCTGTATTCACTCTGGTGAAGTCTTCTCTTGATTGTTGACTTTGACACACATACACCTACCTCCTGGAGAGTGTTCTTGATCTGGCCAACTGTTGTGAAGGGTGTTTTCTTTACCAGGGAAAGAATTCTTCAGTCATCCACCACAGTTGTTTTCTGTGGTCTTCTGGGTCTTTTGGTGTTGCAGAGCTCACTGGTGCGTTCCTTCTTTTTAAGAATGTTCCAAACAGTTGTTTTGGCCACGCCTAATGTTTTCGCTATCTCTCTGATGGGTTTGTTTTGTTTTTTTTTTTTCAGCCTAATGATGGCTTGCTTCACTGATAGTGACAGCACTTTGGATCTCATCTTGAGAGCTGACAGCAACAGATTCCAAATGCAAATAGCACACGTGAAATGAACTCTGGACCTTTTATCTGCTCATTGTAATTGGGATAATGAGGGAATAACACACACCTGGCCATGGACCAGCTGAGAAGCCAATTGTCCCATTACTTTTGGTCCCTTAACAAGTGGGAGGCACGTATGCAAACTGTTGTAGTTCTTACACAGTTCACCTGATTTGGATGAAAATACCCTCAAATTAAAGCTGACAGTCTGCAGTTAAAGCACATCTTATTTGTTTCATTTCAAATCCGGTGATGTATAGAGCCAAAAATGTTAGAATTGTGTCGATGTCCCAATATTTATGGACCTGACTGTGTGACTTTCCCATAGTGTTTCCATAAGTTTTTATATGGACAAAATTTTCTACGGTCTTTGAGCGCTGTATCTTCTCTAATTTTATGTTGTCACTACTCCCAAGTTCTTTACACAGCAGCTGGGAACCAGTTGCAGGTGGATTGAGCT